ATGTGCACATGGACACACATATGCATACATACTATGGCCACAGTATTTACTGTGTACAATTCTGATCACCTTAGTTCAGAAATTATATTGTAAACTATCAGAAGTGGAGAAGAAAGTAATCGAATTGATCAGGAGTACTAAGGGGGGGTGGAATGCAAAGAAATCTGGTAGATCGTTTCCAACCAACACATTTTATTTAAAAAAATTGTTGAAACTTTTGGTTTTAGGCAATCTTAAATGGTCTCAAAGGCAATCGGTTTTAACACATTACAGTTGTTAATGCATGTGTAACCTGCGTCTGCTTAAGCAATTGTTTTTTCCCTTCCTTACCCCTGCCTCATTCCAGTTTAAATCCTACATCAATTTAGTGGTTCTGTAGATCTGATGAAGGGACCCACAGCCCTAAAATTAAAATAAAATTTAAAGTGGCTCCCCTAACCTTTTATGGTATCATTGGCTGCTGCTCTTAGATACCTCCAGGTTATAAAAGGAGGAGAGTTTTTTAGATCAAATTTTAACACATCTTGGCATATTGTCCCTAGCTAATCAGTTAATATAGTTAATATAATATAGTTAATATAAAATAGTTAATCAGTTAAAAATAGCTAATTAATGTTAATATAGTTGGATGTACAGATAGTTGGTTAAATATATTAGCGAGAAAGAGCATATGTAGAAAAATGTCCATTTTTACTATTGTGTTCCTTGAACTACCAGAACTTCTCAGGGGCTGAGAACATTTCTCCTAAGTCCTGTCCTGTATTACAAAGCCAAGGTTTATTTTTTTCCTGACTTCTGTAGGGATCAATGTCACCTAAGAAGATGATGTGCTTTCTTCCTAAATTTCTAACAGTAATTTCTTGTGTATGGTGATGATGGTAACCAAGATGTCTCTTATTCTGCTGAAATGTATATGTTAATGTACTGTACAATCTTATAAAATCATTGGTTTCTATAAATAAACCTACATTTTTTTCCCTTGTAAAAAAAAAAAAGAACAGCTATTCAGATTTCAATGGATTTTAAACAAGTGACAAATTAGGAATTTAGATTAAGGCATAATTGGATGATCAATTTTCTCATTAATTTAGTTCATCCTTTCTGCTTATTTTATCCAGACTATAATTCTTTGGTGTGCTGATTAGAGACACACAACTCTGTAATCCTGTATTTTACATTAAATGCCAACATTGTTTAGCTGTTTCTGCTGATGAGCCCGTTTACAAATGATAAATCAGAATTAATATCAACTCTTATTATGCTTATGGAAATTCTTAATCATCCAGGCCATGATTGTCCCAAAGGTGTTTTTTCAAGAGGCAACTGGACTGTCTGGTTTTTCTTTGAAGATGTTTTGTTTCTCATCCAAGAAGCATTTCAACTCTCTTATTATGACATCTAAATGTGACCATTTTTGTTCTATCCAAGCTGCAGTGATTCAGAAGGAAATATTTTTTTTTTGAATTAGACCGTCTGGGCTCAGGTCAAAATTCTGCTTCAACATGGGACCGGTTCTGTGGAGAAAGGTTTTTCCATGGAACCAGAGGTTTTGTGTGCTGCCTGCATCCAGTGGGCGGGGCTTCGCTTGTTTGCACAGCCCCGATGCTGACATGCCACGGACTAGTGCTGGTTCACAAACTGGGGGTTGCTCTAAGAGAATATACGTAGTTTCTCATGTGTCAAAAATGTTCAGGAGCTTTCAGATCTAGGTATGCAAAACTCTATTAGGCTTTCTTGAGCAACAACATCATATAAGATGCATATAATTGTCCTAAATTTGAAAAGAACAATGTTCTGCTTCTGTATAAACTCACTGCTGCTTTCTTGACATACAGTACCATTGACATATGGACAATATTCAAACTAAACTCAAGTACACTTTTCAAATAAAATATTCAGGTGGATGAACATGTAGTCCCGCTTGGGCGGGGGGTTGGACTAGATGACCTACAAGGTCCCTTCCAACTCTGATTTATCTGTATCTGTATCTGAAGACAATTTCACAGATCTGAGTTCAGTCTAGGGAAACAAGAGTTATAAGAAAGATTGCAGGCTTCAGGTCTGGTTAGCTGCTTCAGTGCTAACTTTCCATTCTATTTTTCTATTGAATAAATGTCAAGTGCTTTTCCAGCTCTAGATCTGCGGATATATTTTTGTTTCTATGTTACATTCTTTCTCTGAAGTGTTTATTCTTAAAAGTGATTTAACTTTCCAAGTTCAAATGACATTGTAATGCTAACTGTAGCACAAATGTTACTACCATTCTCATATACAAGTTGAGACAACATTGTGAAGCAACTGTATCATGGAATCAATTTGGAGTTGTTTTTATGGACAAATTACAGTTTTATGTTTTCCAGAAAGATTAAGGTTGCTTTTCATATTTGCTCCTGAATTTTCCAGTTCTAATAGCTAAAATAGGGATTTTGAAAAGCAGTCTTTTTACCAATCGGTATGGCATTGATTGCATAATTTGATATTGCATAATATGAAATTACATAATATTACTTAGAATAATGTTCTTGGTTTTTTTTTTCTGGGCCTTGCTATTTAGTTCTGATGCAATTACATGTTAAGACAGCTGTTTGCTGACTTTGAAAGGCCAAAAGCCATAATCTGGGTATTGATTATAAATTTAAGAGGAAAGGAGGAATTACTATCATAAAATATAAAATATAGATAGTAGAATTTTGGCCTTTGTTTTTAAAGAAGCATTAAAAAAACCAGTGTTAGATTTCTGTCTTTATTTGTTCCCCTACCATAATTCCCTAAACCTTTTCCTGAGAATCCTCCACTTCTGAAAAGTACTGTAGAAATAAACATACTTGGAAAGAGAGAGATTGAAGATTGCTAACTGACTGTGCATGACTTAATTGTTACAATGTTCTCTCTAAGAAGTTGAGCTTAATTGTGAACTAATAAACCTATAAAACTTTCAATGTTCTAAGTTCCATTTTTTTAGAGGCCTTTAAAGTTCATTGATCTTATTAGTCATCCCGAGTTTAATGGATTAGGTTTTATATTTTGCTTTTTATATTTTGTGGGGTTTTTTGGAGGCTATGTAAAGTTTTTGCTATTAATTTAAACTGTTTTAATTGTTGTGTGAGGGGAAAAAAAGTGTAGATCTTGGCAAGTATAAGACCTATGGACTTCAGTTCCTAGAATTTCCCTTCCTCTTACTCTTCTCAGACACCATCTTTGCCCCTATCACTGCAATGGTTGTATTAATTACGTCACACCCAGCTAACCTGCCCTCTTAACTTCTTCCCAGTGCCCGCTTTATCATTAGCTGCCTTTTGGGAGGGCTTGAATTTAAGCATAGTAAACCCAGCCGTAAATAAGATCACTAGGAAGTGAGTATGAATTGAAGGAAACTGCTAATTCCCCCAGAAAATAAGATTAATGCCTAGTTATCCTACAGTGTTGTTTTTTTAATGGAGAATATCTATTATTTTTATTTTTACCCAGATACATAAAAAGAAGAGGGGTGGGGAAATCCCATAAAATAATAAAAAAAACCATCACAAATATATTACATTACAGTTTTAAATACAAGCTGCTTGCCAGCCTGCAGACTCAGACATGCAAAACACATTCCCATGTTCTTTGTCACGTAGGGTTGGTTATCTTCCTCCCTCTGCTGGGGATACAGAAAGCTTAGGCAGAACTCAAGATATATCTGTGAAGGTGGTGAATTATGCAGGGTTTTCTTTTTCCTCTTTAGTCTCTGAGTAATAGATGGAATTTCCAAGAAGCTGGGACTTTCTAGAGATATTCTAGGTTTCTCTGCTCCAGAACTATGTTATTTCTAGCCAGGAACTGGGCTGTTCCTAATTTCTGTTTTCTGTATTAAGTTTCATATTCTCCATCTCCCTGAATAAATTATAAAACTAAATGCTTAATATCAACCTTCATGCATATTTCAGGTGATCCTCGAAGATGCAATATTTTCTTTAGAATTTTCTTGAGATCTGTAGTATTTTGAATTCTTTGTAATCTGTAATATTTGAGGCAGCAAATTATGCATTTGTAACAAACCAGTGCCATGCTGTGATCTGTCTGGAGCGACGGATCTTCTTTGGGATTTTTCTTTTCTTTTTCTTTTTAATAAGTTGTCAGTGTTGAGTATAATTTATGTTCAACACTGAATATTTGAATTTTAATGGTTTAACATTACACTAAAGTATTTTAATGCTAAAAAAGTTATATGTTACACTTCCTTTTTTAAAATATAAACTTGACTTTGTTTGTTTCCAGGAAGATTAGATTATCTCCCAAATGGGAGAATGAGGAACTAAATTCTGACATTATAGTGACTCTATGCTGTATAGTTAGGAGGGAGCATTTTTGAGATTATCTCAGTGTTTGCATTTTAACAGCCAGAAAGCCAGAAGATGGTCTGTAACACTCTTGATGTCAATTGGGTAGGTGCCAATGAGATACTCTTTGGGAAATAGTAATACAATAGCAGTAAGATCTACTAAGCCATTACTCCAAAGCAGGAGGTGGAAACAAGGCATGAGCACTCAGAAAAGCTTCTGGGAAAGGAAGCTTCCATCATGCAGAGCATTCTGCTTAATTTTTAAACACATTAAAATTTGGTTTTATGAGTTAATATTGATATAGGATGGTAGTTCTCACCTTATAACCATAATGGAGCCTTCCCGTTATGATCACAGGTGGTAATAATCATTGAGATCACCTTATTTAACAACTCTCCCTCCAACCAACTTTGCTCTCCCTGGTATGGTGGTTAAACTTTCTCTGTTTTTAGATACATTCCTTATTGAAATGCTGCTAAAAAGTGACAAGTTCAAAAAATGATTTTTGCAGTTCCTAGAAAGAAGGATTAGTTTTTGCTAGGAAATACTGTAGAATGACACATTGTGCTATACCTGATGTACCTGTGCTTTATGAGTAATAATCATGAGAAAATGTAATAAGACTGTAATCTGTTCTCCACTCTACCTTGTGACATTGCCTATCTCTTTGGTTTCCAGATGGCTTAGGATCAAGAGAAAGAAGATGTAAATGCATGGACATAAAAAAAAAATCTGATGTAAGCTTCTTTAATTAGGGTCCTTTCTGCATTTAGAGGAGACTCTAATGTCCCAAACTCAAGCCAGTAAGTGTTGCTTAAATTATAATTTCTCATAACCTTCAGCAGACATGTAACAATAAATTAGTGAACCCAAATTCTGACTTTTAATATTTTGTGTGTAGATGTTCTTTTCTTTGTCTAAGCTCTTATCTTGACAATAGATGTTCTGAAGCACTCCTTAGGTGAAGAAATGAGAGGGAACATATTGAATTACAGAATTCTGAAATGTAATAAATCTTTTGAAGTTATCTTGTCTTATATGAATGAATTGTTACAGTGCTTAAGCACCATTTTTGCTGCTACATAGATGTACTTCACATACATTAAGCCATGATTTAATTAATCACAGTTTATTATACAAGCACCACTTAGTAAGGTTCACCCATGCTGTGAAGTCATAATCATATATATTTTAGTGGCTATGTATATACAATATGCTAAGTAAAACCCAAAATATATGACACCAGGTTCGCATTTTTACCTTACAGCTTACAGTCTTGATATTTCTCCATTTTATTTGAAACTACTACAGTCTGAAAGGAAATCTTCAGTACTTTGTTTCATTCATACTTGACTTTGAAATGGATCTCAGCTTTTCCAAGATCATCCTCTGGTCCTACACTTTCTGTACATTATTTTGTGAATTAATTCTATTTTTCCTTTGCTTTTAATCAGATTCCCTGATATTTTGAAAAGACACACATTTTCTTGCTGGGAAGTCACAAATCCATATAAATGCAGGTATGTTCTTTTTCCTAAAAAATTACTTCTGAAGCAGTAATTAAGACAAAAAGTGTAAAAACTGTATCTTTGTATTTGACTCTTGTTGTATTGTTATTTTGCTCTATCTGTCAATATGGGAACATGTCCTTTTATATACCATGTGTATACCATATTATAGAACATCTACATAAATGGTTTATAGTAACTGGCAACCAGAATTGACGCATGGAACAGCAAAAACAAAAGAGAATCTGGTACTTTTAAAAATCAAGATAATGAAATAAATGTTTATCTTTTTAACAGAATCCTTATATTAGTCATAGATAACACACTTATGTAGCATTCAGTCTTCTGCCAATGCCCCATGTTCTTGAATTGCTCATATAATTTACTTCTCAGGTTTTGGAAGACATTGTTACTAATTTACTTTTCAGAAAGATGGATAATAAACACTGATAGAAGGCTACGCTCTATATCAGGGGTGTCAAACTGGATTTCTTTGAGGGCTGGATCAGCATTTTAGTTCTCCTCTGCGGGCTCTGCCAGCCGAAAACAGGATGGCCCATTTTCCAGCTGTTTTTCAGCCTGTTTTGGGCCCATTTTTCAGCCCATTTTCCTGCCTGTTTCTGGCCAGTTTTTTTGGCCCTGTTTTGGTCTGTTCTTTGGCCTGTTTTGGGCCTGCTTTTTGGCCCAGTTTCAGCTGGCAGAGTGCCTCAGGAGGCCATGGAAGGTGGAAATAAGGCACAGGGGGACACACACGGCCTGTTTTAGCCACCAGAGGGCCGGCGGACTGATCCTTTGATAGTTCCAGGCCGGCCCCACAGGCTGGATTTAACCATCCCATGGGCCAATCCGGCCTGTGGGCCTTGAGTTTGACACCCCTGCTCTATATCCTAAACAGATCCAGTTGACATAATTTTGTTGTAAAATAAGGATAAGAATTAATTTTATTCTTAGTTTATTGCTTTCTGTGCTTTTTTCTTTTCTTTTACTGTTGAATTTGTGTCATAATCCATTTGGTAATTCTTTAAGGTGCTTCAAAAATGTAATATTAATGGTGTCAGGTTTCCAAGCGATGAAATCCACTTGATAGTTTGTCTACTTTGTTGTGATAATTTTCCTTTCTGTGTACGTAGTATATGTATGTAAAAGAAGACTGCAAAGCGATGGCTTTCTGTGCAAAAATGAGAAGTTCAAAGAAAAATGAAGTCAAGGCAGAAGTTCAGGAGCAAATGCTGGAAATAGTGTTCTACTTACAAGAAAAGCCTTCCCTTCCTTATACAAGTGGCAAGTACACAGCTGAAGAACTTTGCACTGAAGCAGCAAAAAAATGCTGTGAGTTTCAGCAGTGTCTTTTTTATTATTATTATTATTATTATTTAGCTTGTTTAAAACAAACAGGAATGATTTTTAGACTGGTGAATTTTAAAGGGAGTTAGAGAAATTACCAAATAAAGGCCTCAGTGACTTCTAATTGTTAAGTTATTTATCATTGTTACGCTGTGCTATGCTTTTGCAGCAGATTGCATTGAAAAGATAGCATTAGAATACAGATAGTCCTCGATTTGCAAGCACAGTTGGGACTGCATCTCTAAGCAATTTGGTTGTTAAGTGAATCACACCTGATTTTGTGAACTTTTTTGCTATGATTGTTAAGTGAATCATCACATTTGTTAAGTGAATCACACGGTGGTTAAATGACTGCTAATTGGAAGCCAGCTGGAAAGGTTGCAGATGGCAGTCATGTGACCTTGGGATTTACAACCATTGTAAATACACATGGGTTACTAAGCATCTGAATTTCGGTCACCTGACTGCAGGGAGGCTGCGGCATTGCAAATGGGAGGACTGATTGTAAGTCCGTTTTTTCCAGTGCCATCATAACTTTAAACAGTCGCTAAACAAATGGTTGTAAGTTGAGGACCACCTGCAAAATATATTAAAATAGCCCTTAAAAATTAAATTGCCCCCAGTATCAGAACCTAACCTTGACTGATCTAAATAAAACAATAGAATATATTTTTAAAATCCCAAAACAAAAAACTTAAGCATGGGTAGGTCCATGAAGTCACCAAGACTTAAACTTGACTTGGGGATCTTCGTCAAAAGCTGGGTCCCTCTGAACAACCTTCATTAGTAAAGACAGCAAGGGCACTGCTAGTGGATTGCAAATATGGCTTTGCCCTGTGCACTCTGCTACTAACAGCCTTTGTTTCTGACTCAGTTTATCACCGTGTCTTTTCCTGTGGAAAATATTTGCTGGCTCCAATTGAGGGTATCAAGAGAGTGCTTTTCATACAAGCCTCTCGTGGAGTGTTGTGTGCGTAGAATTATGAGAAAAGATCCCATAAGGATAATCTTTGAAAAAGTGTCCAAAAGCACACATGTGAGTTACAGACAAGGCAAAGCATGTGTGCAAATTACTAGTTTCTTTCAGAGTTTAGAATGCTATATGAGCCTTGGTGGCACAGTGGTTAGAGTGTAGTATTGCAAATTACTTCTGCTGACTGCAGGCTGCCTGCAATTTGGCAGTTCAAATCTCTCCGGGCTCAAGGTTGACTCAGCCTTCCATCCTTCCGAGGTGGGTAAAATGACCCAAATTGTTGGGGGCATATGCTGATTCTGTAAACCGCTTAGAGAAGGCTGTAAAGCACTATAGAGTGGTCTATAAGTCTTACTGCTATTGCTATATCTACTATCTTAAAAATCTTAACTTTGACCCAAACATCTTTACTGTACATTACATCATTGTTTTACAGAAACAAGATGACTCTCTTTAAGATACATACTTCCTGTTATTAGCTGCTCCGTTTTAATATTTCACATGCCTTTTTGGCTTAGATATTCTACTAGATATATATATTCCTTCCTTACTGTAATTACAGTTTCAGTTAATGTGTTTATCACTGCTTTTCTGTGAACTTTATCCATTAATGTGACTCCCATCTCTCCAGTAGATTCTTTCTTTTTGCTTATTGTTTGTGGATAGAACAAAAATCACTTGGATGGACTTCAACAATTCATATACTTATTCGGAGTAACTTTTTGTTATAAACTGCAATGAACTTTTCAAAAGCCCATATATTATTCATACTAATTGAGTTTAAAGGCTGTGTGTAGCACGGTAGCCAATAATGCAAGCATATAAGGCAATTGCTTCCAAACTGTTTAAAAACTTAAAAGTGTAGTAGAAGTCATGCCACTATCAAAAACCACCCCTTTTTATTCCTTGTAGGAATAAACAGATTGCATACAGATTGCAATCTGACTGTACTTCACTTAAAAAGTATACATTAGTTTTCCAGTTTTTAAAAGTGATTTAAGATCTTAAGTCAATCTTCAATGCAATAAATTGTGAATCAGTTTTGGTTAATTTGAAGCAGGATTTTCTCAGTTTGTCCTTAGAACCAAAGATACCTCTCTATGTTTGATTAAGAGGAGAAACTGTGGAAAAATGCCCAGAACCCGCCCTGAATCTTGCTTTAGGAATGTTTGGAAACAGTTCTTAGCTTCCCAATATTAGTTTTTCTAAATTTGTTTATGTATGTATGTGTACTGTGGATTGTTGCCAAACTGCAGTCCTGACTATAAATCACACACAAAAGCTGTTGTGATGCTTTTTGCAAATGCACATTTATTGAATCAGAAGTGCAAAAATTAATCGGGGAGAGAAAATAAATATATTTTAAGGGCTCATTACTCCACCTAAAATGCTTAGAGTTATTATAGTCAGGGTACTTTTTCTTGTTATCTGTTTCTTTTTCCAATAGTGCATTATATTAGCCATTGAGGAGAAATATATATATATTTTTATGTCACAAGCTCCACCACTATTTGCCTTTCCTTTTCCTGCTATATATAAGCTAATGGCTCCTTTGCGTTTACTGTGCTCATTTCCTCTTTCTTCCTCCTGTTCCTTCTAACCTTTGCCCAAAGTTTCTTATACCAAAGTCTCCAGTTAACCCTTTACTTGCTGTAATAGACACAAGCAAATAAGCTATCATTTATACAGTTGTACAATAAAGATAGCTAAAACGGTGATTGTGCTTTATAGTCTCATTGAAGAAAGGCGAACAATAACAGCTACAATCCTTATTGAACATTTTTATATTAAAAAGTAGCTACTGTATAATTGAAAGCAGAAAATAATTTTAACAGTAAATAGTACAGTTTTATATTGTGTTTAGACTATTGCTGGTCTGTGACTGTAATAAAGTTTATTATTATTATTGTGTTTAGCTATTCATTGAACTATTTGTTTTCCTTTTTTTCTTTTCTTTCTTTTACCAGCTATTTCTCCTCTGTGCCACAATTTGTTTGCCCTCTTTGATGAAAGTAGAAAGATCTGGTATGCACCAAATCACATCTTCTACGTTGATGAGAAAACATCACTCCGGGTTCATTATCGCATGAGGTAACTACGACAGTCTCTGATACAATTAGTGCGATAGTAGCTTTGTGGCTTGCTTCAGCAAGCCACTTAATTCCCTTGCTTTTAAAATACTTCCAGCCTTCACCTTGTTTCCAAGAAACCACAGCTAAAAAGCATTTCATATTAGAACGGTTTTGAACGATTGCAGTTTTGCTGTTCATGACACAGATTAGAGAAAAGTAGGTCTAAATTGAATAAACTCCCCAATTCTTTCTACTGTCCCATCCCAGCCAGCCAGAGGGGCATGCTCCAGGTAAGGACTACTTAGATGATGGGACCCAGGAGGAAGCCTTTTTGGGTATGGCACCCGTCCTCAGAAATATCATCCCTCCGAAATTAGACTGCCCATGTCCCCCATTAGTCTTCCAGAGATGTGGCTCTGTGTTCATGTTTGGGGTTCCAGATGTGTGACAGAGATTGCTTCTTGGTTGCTATAGGTTTTATGTTTTCTGTGTGTTTTTTAAAATTGCTTTTAATATTGTTAACAGTCCAGAGACATGTATTTGTGATGGGCAGCCATATAAGTCTACTAAATAATTTGATATAAATAAATGAAATAAGTCAGTTAAATTGATTTAGTACAGAAATAATAGCTAAGCTGATGTTTTATAATGTTTTATAAATGTGGAATTTAAATGGCTGAGAGTAATGGGGTATTTACATTTTTAAATTGCATAGAGATTATTGTATGGTTGGTTGTGTTTAGTTCAATTTTTTTCTTTTAGTGGTGTTTGTCCAGTTTTACTTTGTGGAAGAGCACCTCATTTCGTTGCACCTGCTTGCGAGTGTAATGACAAATAAATTCTTATGTCTTATGTCTTATAATCACTATCTATACAAGAGAATATGAAGGGATTTTTGAAATGTTAAAACATCTTTGAATATTGAATTAAGGTTTGGTGGGATGTAGGTCAACGTATGTTGACTCATAGGTAGTCTCCAGGTTAGAGATCTTAGCTTACATAAAATAACATAAAAGAGAGTGTTACAAAATGAAAATGAATGAGACAACAAGGTATGATGTATTTAGTAAGAAAAAGATATTGGCAAAGAATATCATCGAAAAGAGCAAGGGTCAGTGAAGATTAAATAAGTTAGGGAAAGCATAAGGGCATTAGCCCCTTTACTTACAACTTCTTTGTGGCGTTCTGTTGGGTTGTAAAGAAGAAAAAAGAGAAAATGCAGAGCGAGTTGGATGGGGACTGGGTGAAAAGGGTTAAACAGGAGCCTCTAGTAGACCAAATGGAATTAAAAATGGCAGTAATTAAATAACTTGAATGTGACTGAATTCAAGAAAAGCTGGAAGGAATATTTCACAATTTGTATGGACTGACATTGGTACAGTATGTTGGAAGAGTGGAATTGAAACAAGTACTAATGTATAGTAAAATACAAGAAAAAAAAGGACAAAAAAAAATAAGTGGTTTGAGAATGTTGAAAACCAGTAAGATTATCAGTATAGATGGAGCAACTGACGATCCCCAGAGAGAGGTGAGAAATTTATACAACAAAAAATAATGTATGAAGTAATATATAGACATGAGAGAAGAAGGCTTTTAAGAATAGAAAGATATGAAGAAATATAGGGACTGGTGTTGGTATTTTTTTTTCTTTCTTTTCTCATGTCTTTACTTTGTTTTAATATTTCTTACTTTTTGTTCTGCATAATGCTGCTTATCTCAAAAGAAAATAATATGATTGCTATGCATGTATGTGCATTCACATCTCTCTCATTATGCTGCACTTGCTCTGTTTAACTCCATGCAGAAAGAACCACTTATTTATTTAAACAAGTATATATTATTTTCTTAATAACATTTTATTGCATTTATAGAAATATAGAAACATATGAGGACTTCCTGAATAATCTGTAATTACAGTAAAGAAGGAATATATATATATATATATATGTTTTCTGAGGTTCTCGCGGGTATTTGTATGTGGATCTTTGGTTATTCGGGTTCTCTCCCGCGTAAGATTCAAAGTATCTAGGCAACGTTTCGGCGAGGTCCCACTCGCCATCTTCAGGCTGGTGCTTTCGGCTTAGTGCCAGTGCAAGCAGTGTGTGACCGGAGCTGCCATCTCTCTTTATATACAAGTGGTGGGGGATGGTGTGCTGGGCTGGTTGGCTGTGCTGCAGCCTCTTGATTGGTTGATGGAGTTGATGTTGGTATAATGGGCTGTGTAATGGCCTTTTGTTGTAGAGATATCCTGGATCTTGTGCTGTCATCTCCTGGGTCGTTAGCCTCTTGTGTTTTAACGGCTTGGGTAATGGGTTGTGTGATGGGCTTGTGAGTTCTTTTGTTGTGGTATCCTGGGTCTTGCATTGTAATCTCCTGGGTCGTTTGTGTTTTGATCTCTTTTCCATTAGCCTCCTGTGTAGTAACAGCTTGGGTAATGGGTTGTGTGATGACCTTGTGAGATTTATTGCTGTGGTATCCTTGGTCTTGTGCTGTGATATCCTGGGTCATTTGCTGTGTTGTGACTTCTTGAGTTCTTGAGGTGTAATTTCTTGAGTTTTCTGATGTGATGTCCTGAGCGGGTGGCTGTGATGTAGCATTTTGGGTTTTTAATATGGCTTTGAGTTTGGGGTCTGGGTCTGTGTTCGTTTGGCTTCGAGTTCGTGGTCGTGCCACATCTTCATGGTGGGGGTCAGTTCGCTTCATGTATGGTTCAGAGGAGTTTGAAGTGGGTAGTGATGCAGCTGCAGTGCGGCTTCTGGTCTGTGGTCGTGTCTCATCTTCTGTGTGGGTGTGAGTCTGATTTTTACGTGGAAGTGTGGTGGTGGCATCTTGTGTGGCCCTCATGGGTGTGGGTCTGGTGTCATTTATCATGTTGGGTACTCGTCTGTTCATGAGGGCGGGTTTCCAAATGGCTGGTAAGCGGGAGGTGTCATCTCTTTTATTCATGCTGTGTGGGCGTTTTTCTATCTCTATGGCTTCTCTGATTATTCTGCTGCTGTGGTGTTCAGTTTTGGCGATAGTTCTGGTATTTTTAAAGTCAATCTCATGTCCTGTGGCTTTGAGGTGTTGGACCAGGGAAGAGGTTGGTTCTTCTTTTTTGATTGAGTTCTTATGTTCTTCAACGCGTGCACTTATTCTTCTGTTAGTTTGTCCAATGTATGTGGTGAGGCAGGCAGTGCAGGGGATTTCATATACTCCTTGGTTTTCTAACTCGATTTTGTCTTTAGGGTTTCTTAGGATGGTGGATATTTTTCTGTTTGTGCAGAATGCTGTTTTAATGTTGTGTTTTTGGAGGATCTTGCTGATTTTGTCTGTAGTGCCTTTTATATATGGGAGGAGGGCTTTGCCGTTCTCTTGTTCTCTGTCTTG